GGCCACGCCCCCGCGGTAACGAGGCGACGCCCTTTGAGGCGCGCGGGCGGCACGGATGCCACCCGTCGTCAGCGACAGCCCGGGCCGACGCCACGGCTCGACGCTGACGCCGTCGGCGGCGGCTGTGCGGAGGACGCACACGGCGCCCGGCATTAGTCATGAGGTGTTTTTTGCAATCGACCTGAGTGGTAACGACAGGGAAGGGCGTCTGTGAGCGGGGGCGGGCGTTCACTCATGCGTAATGTCAACACAAAGCCTTTCAAGACGACGGGTATGCATGCTGAAAAGGAAAGGCTTCACGCTGACCATGAATGAGTTAGTGTGCCGTAGATCATCTTTAGTGATCTACAAGAATGATGTGGGTGCGGTACACATACAGAAGGGACATGACAGGTAAGACGGGCCATGCATATTACGACTGCCAAGGGCAGATAGACTGGTGCACGTACCTGCGAAGCAGCCACATCGCAAACACTCATTCAGAGCTCTACGCGCCAATACGCACGGCGATTGTCAAGCGTAGCACATGCTCCAACTGATGCCAAGTGAGTTACTGTACGTCCAACAAGGGACCCCAGTCGGTGTCTGAGCCAAAGAGGTGAATTACCATGTGTCACCCCCCTCCCCGGAAGACATGCCGGGCACATCCCCTAAGAATCTCACCTTTCACATCACGCAAAGTACTAGATCAAAGAAGCCACAACAAACACATTAGTGCTCAAGCATTTCCCTTGGACGCCGAGGAGCCAGGGCCTTGTTGACACGCTCTACAGATGGGGGCAGAGCTGGCAGGCCGTGGGATCGTGACACACCTGTTCGGTGTAGCGCCGCCAGCGTTCGTCTGTGTCGTCGGTCCGGGCGGCGGCCAGCGCCGCCTCCAACCGCTCCACCTCCTTCAGACCGGTCTGCCACAGCTGTACGGCCGAGTCCCGCTCCTGTTGGACAATGACATCACATCCCTCAGCCCGACCCACCACAGCTGCACGGTCGAGTCCCGCTCCTATCGGACAGTGACGTCACCCCCCTCGGCCTGGCCTGCCACAGCCGCACGGTCGAGTCCCGCTCCTGTCGAACAGTGACGTCATATCCACCAGCCCAGCCCACCACAGCCGCACGGTCGAGTCCCGCTCCCATCGAACAGTGACGTCACATCCATCAGCCCAGCCCACCACAGCCGCACGGCCGAGCCCCGCTCCTATCGAACAGTGACGTCACATCCCTCAGCCCGGTCTGCCACAGGTGCACGGCCTATGATGATGATGATTTGGGGTTTTAGGGCGCATCGACTGCTGTAGGTCATGCAGCGCCCATAACTATCAACTAATACAGAGCCACCAATCAGACAAGTGCATCAATCAGGTCACCCTACAAAGCCTTGATGATCAGGCCTAGTATCATGTTGAAAAGATTACTGGGAAATCTATAGCGCGAAGAAACTGGAGCACTTTACCAAAAGTCGACAGCGTGCGAAGAATCCCGTAAAAAGTAGCATTTTTGAGAGAGATTTGCTGATGACTATAAGTGCGGAAGTGAAGACCGACGCGTGTGAAGGCAGTGTGAATGACCGTGTTGTGGATCCACACACAAAAGCGCACCCTACACCTGCATCCGTCTTCGAACCATCCGTATAAGTCATCATGTACCCGTCAAAGGAGGCCATGTGTTCTAATGGTGCGCCTTTAAGTTCCGTCATAAGAACGCGTTGCTGCTGCATGCTTGATAGCAAAGCATCCACTCTTGGTGATGCTCGCTCCCAAGGAGCAGTCTTCATGGGTTTAAGTCTGATGACACGCCGTAGGTTGAGGCCGCTCGCGTCTAGAAGTTCTCTCATTCGTACACAAAAGGGAGAAGTTTGTAGTGACAGTTGACAGAAAAAGCATTCGTAACGTACGCGAAAACACTGCTTTGTACTTGGGGTGATCTGGGAACTGCGCCAGCTTGCACGTGTAGCGCAGTCCCAGCATCTGCCTTCGCAAAGCGAGTGGGGGCTCGTTAGCCTCCACCAGAAGACGATCTGTGGGCGATCCTGTGGCCAACGTAGTGTAGCGTGATGCACCGTGTTCAAAGTACGTTTGATCAGGTCTGATGAACCGTCATAGATAAAACGGCCGTAGTCAAGTTTTGGGCGCATCAGGGAGCGGTATAGGAGCAAGAGTGTCCTGTCCCGCTCCTGTCGGACAGTGACGTCACACCCCTCAGCCCAGTCTGCCACAGGTGCACAGCCGAATCCCGCTCCTGTCGGACAGTGACGTCACATCCCTCCGGCCAGATAATCACACCCAAAACGGGTGGGTGCCGCTCCTGCCGCACAGTTACGTCATATCTCCCAGCCTCACCTACCAAGTTAAAAGGCTGGCTACCATTTCTGTTAAAAATGGTGTCATATTCCTCGTATCTGCCAGCCATAGCTAAAAAGCTGCATCACACACCCATTGAACAGCGCTTTCATAGCGTTCATCTCTATCTACAATAGCTAAACAGCAGAGTCCTTTGCCAGTCATACAGTAATGGCTAGATCGACAGCGACCACTTTCAACATATTTCGGTACATTTAAACTTCTACGCGTCACCGACATTCCACGTCACGGCCCAATGAGAAACGACCAATTTATAAAGAGACAGATAGTATCACTTTTCCGAAGCTCATGCCTTCACGCATGAGCAGCAAGATACAAGCAAACAAAATGAGCATGTCCATTGTAAACGCACTCTTAGCGAAATACTGCATCATAAACACCATTTCAAGACATCAAAATGCATCAACCTGTGAGTTTTTCAAGCCTTCATTGCATTGCACATGACCTGCTGACCTTTGAGAGGACATCCAACTGTTGCTGCTGATGTCCGACATTCTGTGGCAACGGTGCAAGCGTGACTTTGCTGCTGACATCCCTGAGCTGAGCATTCAATGCCTCGTTTTCTGTGGTGACCTCCCTGACTTGTGTCTGAAGTCGACCCTGCTCTTCCTACCACAGAATGACAGTCATTAGAATGGGTGAGAAGTCCTAGCTATGTCTGGGGCAAACAGGCACTGAAAAAATGTGTGAGGCATATAATATTTGTTTGCCTATTTACATTCGAACAACATTCAGACTAATTCACTATTACACCTGTTAATTCCAGCTGGCACAAAACAGGTCACTCCAAGGACTTTGCCACATCAAGCATGCAACAGATTATATAATTAAGGGATGATCCTTACCCAAAACTTGCTGATTTCAGTCTTCAAAGATTCTATGGTGTGTTCATACTCATATTTCAAGGGAGACAGGGCAGCATCTTTGCTCTTCACTCCAGTGCCCAGCATATCAACAGCCATGGAACTTCACTTACACTACATTATAAAGATTGAAAACCTGTCATTGCTCCCACTTCTGTGGGTCAGCCCAGCACCTGGAATGTAATAGATTAGAAGTCTGTTGTAAGCATTGTTGGCACAACACAGTTAGCTACTTTTTAAAAGTTGCAGCATTCTAAAATATGGCAAACTATATGAACATATAACTCATGATACCAGTTTCTTACAACATGCCAACTCATGCAGCTCCAAAGTACATCATACATGATTCAATAATATATATATATATATATATATATATATATATATATATATATATATATACCATATTAAGAAGTTTTTTTAGCCATCATATTCTCATTTTGCTTTTAATTCCCACTCAAAAACATCATATTTCCCCACCATGTTGACCAATACACAAACAATATGGAAGACTGCTTGGATACACAAGAAACACATTTCATTGGATTCTTGTTACCTTGCCCTCATACATTTTTATGGTTCTTGATGCGCAGTAATATTGTGATCACACAGTAATGTTGTGACCATGGGTGGAAATGGTGCCGGGTTGTGGTTGCTGCATGTTTATGCTTGGATGTTTGCTATCATGGTTATTTAAGTTCCAACATAAGAGTTAAGATGGCCTGTTTTATTATTAGTTACAATATGTTCTGCCTTAAAAATGATGATTGATGTATGATGCTTTTTCTTAACATGAGGTAGCAATGTACACCCAGACCCTCTGCTTTTTAATAGGATTGCAGACCAGTTCTCAAGCCCACACCATCTGAAAAAGTTTAAATATGACATGCCTGTCTCTCTGGCCCCAATGAAGCATGATCAGACAGTATGGATTGGCATAGAGGATTGGCACAGATCAGCACAGCACCTTTCTGATATGACATGTGATTGTTAATCATCTGGACAGGTGTTAAAGCATGCTTTTTGTCACCCCTGCCTAACTCCCATAACCGATCATTGTTTTATTGTGGACAGTGCAATCAGCAGAACAGCATCATAGTTGACATTTTGAAGGCAAGATGAGGAAACCGTGTCTCTGACCGGTCTTATTTTATAGTAACTACCAGCATGTAAAACAAAATCCCAAGACGTAGCTCCCACCAGCACTCGTAAACTTACCCCACATGCACTGCACTGCACTGCAAAGCTAAAAGGTCAAGTTGTAATCCCACCCGCAGAGCAAAAATTGCAGCAAAAAATGTTGCAGGAAGTAACGCACAACGGAACATGTTGATACCCTTGTGCTGCAACTTTGGTTTTACCTCCAGACACCCACTTGCCATCCCACGTATCAACTCACCACAACATGCGTGGAAGGCACACAGAAATCACCCACCGACCTACTATCACAGTCTCTCACTATCCATTGTAAGGCGTACAACCTCTACCGCTTTGAAATTCAGAGACGTAACATTTGCTTACAATTTGTATTTGGTATTCTATTCTTCACACGCTTCCATATGAAGTATTTTTATGTGTGAAGTGTTTTTTGGACACCTTTTCAGCACCTTCGGCTATATAGATGTCATGTCATGTCATTGGGGCTTTACGACGCACTCAGCTGCGGAGGCTATATGGAGTCGCCTGCCTCTAACACTGGCAGGAAGGGCGGGCGCCGCGGGGAATCAAACCCCGTACCTCTGGTTTCCCAGACGTGCAGTGGTTAACGCAGACGCGTTAACCACCACACTACCGGCATCCGGCTATATAGATGGGGTTTTAGTTTAACTGTGTACTGCTCCATTCAAGCTTTGCTTTGTTTGAGGGGACGCAAGTCGGAAGAATCCAAAGGTGCTTTAATCAAGCATTTCTGAAGCACGCGCAGGCCGCACGTGGTTCTCAAATCATCAGGCACGTCCTAACGTTAGGAGAGGCACGGCTTATATGGGTGTCACCTCATGTACTTTTGGAAAGTGCCGAGCCCATAATGCTCAGTCGAGCACCTGCAGTGCTGCTCTAAGCCCTTCAATGCTAGCCATTAGAATCGTCTGGTGATATTCTTTGACCATAGGCATGTAATCCTTTAAACGTAAAGTACGGACATGTATCCCGTTAAATAGTGTCCGGTGGCAGGGGGGGGGGGGGGGGGATACCGAAGATGTTCTGTTATTCTCATGCACTGACATTGGCCTTATCTGGTGTCATGCAATGAAAAAGGTTTGTGTTGGAGGCTGCCTTTTTTAAGTTAGCACAAGTTTGCGACCAGCCTTTTTTAAAGTAAGCTGGGAAATGGCTTCAAAATTGACGCTAAAACAAATATCTACGATTTTCTCGTGAAATTCGTCCCCCTCCATCCTCATCTTTGAGTAAAGACCCCCCCCCCCCAAATGACCAAACAAAAACTTCGAATCCCGTGGCCCTCCTCGAAGTTTTCTTTGCACTTTTTGAAGTCGTTCTGTTTTCGGAATGCCTTCATTTACTCTTTTAGCTACTTTTTGTTGCAGCATTTGTCCCCGTCACCCGATGGCCCGACTTTCCAGACCATGTGCATATAATCTGGGGTTCAGTCCATGTGTTAACCATTACAAGAACCTAGACAACACGCTAGTCTTTATTTCTTTCCTTACGTTCCGAAATGATCTTTGGTCGTTTCGGCATCTAATCACTGTCAGATCCTTTCTGATTGATGAAGAACACATACAGCAATGGCTGAGGTCAGATTAAATTATGACTGGCCTCCAAACCATAATTCCATTTCGGCTGGACACCGATTTATTCGCATGTTACGGGTCAGACAGTCGGCGAATTTCGTACTATGTCTCGTGCGTTTCTAATCCCGCGTATGGGTCAGTACATGTCAAGCATCGACAAAACCCTGCAGGAAATGAATGCATCAATGACATCGGCAATACAAAAGGAGGCTACAGTTACATGGACCTATACGGAGCCACGCTATTCGTTACATGGACAAGGTACCGTCGGCCGTTCGATCAATGTCAGCGAGTGGACATTGGGTCGCTGCCCGCACCGCTGTGTCAGGTCACGTTACCACTTACCCTGTTTATCAAGCCTTGTTGTCCGTTGCTAACCAAACTCACGTTGACTTAACCAAACGTGGTGTTGACGGCCCAACGGAAAATAAGACTAGACTTATAGCACAGACTCAGTGCTATGTAACAAAGCGGAGGTGAAAGCAATTTTTTTAATGGGTGGCACAACTCAAAATGAAAATAATGCATGTTGATGCATGTAATACATGTCATACGTATGTCGAGGGGGCGTTCACTCGGGCGCCACTATGCGCGAGCTCCCTGTAAATGGATGATGCTTCTGCCAGCGGCAAGAGCAGTAATTGCTGACCCTGATGACGCCACTTTATCCTTTTGAGGTGATCCCGAAGAACAAAGTTGCGTGTCCTTAGCTTCGCTTCTAGCAACAATGTTCGTCTGGTTTGACATCGGGCAAAAATGACGTCATTTGCGGTCAACAGTCTACCACGGTTATGCACTGATCAGTGCATAATTCCCATCACGTGTATACCATATGAAACATTTGGCATATCATGACATCAGTACATGAGACATGGGTAGGACATAACCGCCCGGGTCGAGGTATCTTGATAAACTTTAGATACTTTGGCTTTATCAATATAGCCGATCAAGTTTACTGCATATGCGTTTTGGTTTCGCAGTCATCTGCCAATTGGTCATTTAACAGCTGTGGTTTAAGTCCCTTGAAATCAAATCATTTAGTGTCTTAACACCCGCCCTTGGCCGGCTAGATGCCCTTCGCTCAGGTGTGGGTGTCAATTTGACCCCCCCAAGATATCTGGAACTAAGAACGCCAGAAACACCAAATTTACAGGGTGTGTTAACCTGTACGTGAGCTCACTTAAGTCAAAGTTTCAGGTTTATAGGTCATGATCTTCTGGTCAAACAAGGTCAAACAAGGTAAAGTTCCAGGCTGGTCTCAAAAGTGCCCCCAGAACCTAGATAGCCGTTTCTAAGCAAAAGGTTACATGCTCATTTAAGGTCAGTGACCTTATTTGACCCTAAGAAGGTCAAGGCAACTAAAATTATGCAAGATTGCCCTGAGTTTTACATTTGACTAAGCGACAAGACTACGCTAGACAGTACGACCCTTAAACAAAATGTTGACCTGTGTCATTTTAGCTCAATGACCTACTATGACCTCTAAGAAGCTCATGGACGATGTATAATGCGGTTCCTGCTATCAATAAATTCAAAATGAGCAACAGAACTATCCCTTACAGCAAGCTCTAGAGTAACAAAACAGGTTGGTTTTAACCTTGGTGTGACCTTCATACCTGACCTTAGGCCAATATAATTTGCCCATTCAACTGTTGTGTTGCCTAAGAAAGCACCTCAGAGATGTATGGCTTCGTCTAACACTCCGTTGTTGGATCAGATTAAGGGATTCCGTAGAAATTGCCTTCGCTGAAACCATGGCCTGACTTTCAACTGCCATAGGTTAGCGACCTTACGAGGTGCATCCAAATTTTTAAGCCAAATGATCCGCTATTAAATTGCCTACAGCTACGCAGAATTTGGCGCCGCTATGCCGCGCCGTTCAGAAACTATTCTGGAAATACCTTCGGGGGGGGGGGGGGGGGGTAATTTGACCCCTTATCCGGGCGCGTGTTAAACGCTAAGTGACATGTAAATGTATGACCATGACACAAAAACGCCTCCGGAGATTACTGGCATCCTGATAGCTTTGACGGTAGTCCATGAGTTTTGCTGCTGCGTATCCTAGTACGCGTGCATTTGAAATTTTGCTGTTGCATCTATTGCATTGTACGGCGTCTATTATATTCCCTTCGTGCATATGTACTCGTTGCGCATTTCTTTTGTAACGACCCTTTGCAAGATCCATATCATGACTACCCAAGAATGACAAACTTACGCATCCATTCGTAATTATGTGATTCATCTCTGGTCTTATCATAGAAAAGGGGCCAAAAATGAATTAAATATGCTCCACTTAGCAGCTCCTTCAGGGCTACACGCATGAATAAAAGGACAAGCATCGTGTCCGAAAAATCGGTCGCACGATAAACATATTGTTAAGTGCACGTTTAGCCTACTTTCCATTATACGCAGATGACTAGTTTAACAACGCATTTGCATAACATAGAATCGACAGGTCACTTAACGGTCAACTAGCAGGGATCTTCGGCCCATTCCATCCACACTATCAACTCGTTCTGTTTCTTTGTCCCCTTCTGTCACGGAATTTTGGTTCATAAAACAGCCTTCTAAACACACCCGCGCGCGCGACAAGGTCCGTTCTGCGTGAAGCAGCGAAACCCATCGGTAATGTAGCGTTGTGTGTATCATGCGACAGTGCGCAGAGGGTTCGTAATGTCAAAGGAGGATGCCATTATGTTCAGGGATGGTGTTTTGCTTCGAACTTCACGCTCGTTTTTATCATGCCCCAAATGATGTCCGAACTGCAAATGACCAATTCATTTGCTTTGGGCAAATCCTATCAATATTCGATTTTTGCTTCTTGAAAAACGCACCGGATTGAAAACGCCCCAAACAGGGCACCAAATTTGACGAGTAGCTATTCGCAAATCGCTCACATGGAATTTCCACCAATCCTGCTAATATCGCCATTAAAATGTACGTAGACGACACATCGTGAGTTTTCAAATACCGCCAAGAGCTTGGAGCGTGTCACAGATCAACTCTGACCGTCGCCGCCGCCGTGATAATGACGAGGATCATCATGCATTCATTACCAATTGCTACATATATATATATATATATATATATATATATATATATATATATATATATATATATATATGTGTGTGTGTGTGTGTGTGTGTGTGTGTGTGTGTGTGTGTGTGTGTGTGTGTTTACAACTCACACAACTCAACATTATACAGTGTGTATAATGTAGTCAATGCACCTTGGGATCGTGCATATAGTCCCCATAGTCCCTCCCCAGCTTTAGGAAAGGCTTTCATACTGTCTTTGCAGCCGTCTAAGTGCTACTCAAAGCCCGAACGACAGATGTGTGATGTAACAAATGGACTTTACGTCACGCCATGAAACGATGCTGCAGCCATCATGAAAACGCACCAAGGATGTAAAAAACGCGCACGGAAACAAACGCAATCTACTTTGTAACTTAAGGGAAATCCAGATACGAACATATGGCTCCAGGGTGGAGGCTGGGGAGGGGTCACAACGGCTAGCAGGAGGTTCCAGTACGAGGCCTCACGACATGTAAACGCTCTGCGCAACATGGGTAATGAGAAAACGGACAGCTCCAAAGACCGACCACCATCAACCGGACACTCCAGGCAATGAAAAATCATCCTTTTGTCTAAACAATTCCAGCTTCATATTGCCCCTCATTTCCCTAGAGATGTTGGGCACCGGCATTGATCGCATCCTATCATGGGAGTGGCGTTTATCC